ATATGGAGCAGCATCACAAAGTGGTTAACAATTTAATTGTAAACGAATTTGCGTAATATTAATTGTATCCCCTAGCTTTATGCAATTAAATGCTACTGACTGAGTTTTCATTCCTAGATAATTAATATCCCAATCAAATCCTATTTTATCGTACACTAACCTAGTCAATCCAGTTCTATCATCTACTCAGAGTTCCTCGCAGAAAGATCTATAAAAAGCCCCATTTTTCTCACTGCATTATTTGGTAAATGATCTGATGAAATTTAAAGGTTTGCACAATTACAGCTCCAAAACTAACCCTCACTTTGCCAAACCACCGCTACATGTTTACCTTTACCGGCAGTTATGCAGGTAAACAAAGTCATAACGGAAGCAGGAACAGTGCCCAAATAGCTCTGCCAAATGACTTCGGGCAATTTATTTTTTGAAACAATGGCTGAGGGTGCCAGCATAACTCAAAACAGCTCAATTCAGGATAAGTCATTTCAACCAGGTCTTAGGCAGCGCAACAACGCCAACTAAGAGAGATCCTATCAATACTATTTATGGTGCTTTGGAATACTTTCTTGATGAATGCTACTTTTGTTCAAATTACTACCCCAATATTTCGAATAAAACATTTTATCTTGCTAATAAAGTTACGTTCAGGGAAAATATAAATGCTTTATAGGAAAGTTGGTTGCCAACATTTCACGCCTTAAAATATGCACAATTGTTTGGACCTAGCAATAAGAGAGGCTACACACTCCACACTCCACTTGTGTGCTACCACGAATTCATCAGTAGAATTGCCTATACCATTGGGCCGGCTTTTGTTAAAGTTAGTAGTGCAATGCATGCTCAATTGCACTTTTTGCGGAAGAAACCTCACCGTCGTCATTCGCACGGAAGGGTGTTACCGCCATTTTTCGCCTCTGTATGTGCCTGAATATGAATCTGTCTGAATTTTTTACGCTCGTAAGTCTAATTTAGCAGTCAGTAATTACTATAATTTTACATCATTTTACAACAGATGGAAAACATGCGTCATTGCAGTCACCTCTTAACTCAATAAATTATGCTAAAAAACAGGCCACTAATTACAACTGCTTCACCATTAGCATAATTCCAAAAAGTGTTTTCTAGCCTAATAAAACAGCAGCCGCAGTGTGCCTATTTCCTGCAAATATGGTCCCGTTACTTTATTTAAGTAGTTTGCGTTGAACCCTAGTCGTGAAATAAGCGTTAAAACCCTTTAAGCAGCTCTTTTATAAAAGTTTACTTATTTTGTTGTTTTAGCCAGTGTTTTTCAAATGAAAGCTACTAACAAA